ATGTACCAGGTGACGACATGCAACACAGGGCCTTCTTCAGGAAGGTCAGTATGGCTAAGATCATCAAACATGCTTCGTAGTTCGGTCTCAAATCCTTGCCAGTCAGGTGCATGAGGGAAGACCGGTGGTGCCTGAACTGGAATAGGATCTTCGAAAGCTGTCGGCTGTGCTTCCTGATCTTCTGGTGCACGATGCTGTTTGGGAGTGCCGGCGACGAAGGCCAGACCATCAACCAATGCATTCAAAGGGGGATGAGTGTCACTGGGTCCACTACGAGTATTGGAATGAAAATGGGAAGTGATGGTCGGATAGACTTGTTCAAAAGTCGGTGCCGAAGAGTCGCAGAGTGCTTCAATCCATGAAACGACCCGGCAAGTCTCCATGCCAGCTGCGATCGGTGGGGGTACATGGACCCTGGCGTAGCTTCCATGTGGAAGAAGACGATCCGCCCGCAACTGAACTGGCCAAGGTGCATGATCAACCAAAACAACGCAATTCTGCTTCGAATCACAGTAATGGGAGACCCGTGCAAGCCTAAGGAGTCCTACGCGTGAAACTGCAGCGGGAACACGGATGACCCTACGATCAAATTGAGACTCAGCCAGCGGTGCTGTAGTCGATCCATGCTGATGAAACACAACATCCAAGAGTATCAACTGGTCAGGCGATCCAGTAGGCATGTCACGCTGGCGCTGAACGACAAAACTGGTCTCATGGAAGGGTTCACCAACTGGTTTCGCATGAACTCGATGCATTGCAATCAAGTCCTCAGGTTCAATGGCAGTGAGCTCTAAAACATCATGCAGGAGGGAATCAAAATCAAGGGAAGAAACCCACGCCGAAATGGGGAGACAACCTACCCGATACAAAGTTACCCTACGCCGAGGTCTGGGTTGAGCACGGAGCGCCGAAAGGGCACCTGCATCGGGTGAAGCGTCCAACCGTGGAGGCTGATCAAGGTCGATTCGTTCTTCCGGATTTGTTCCAGGCTCTGGCATGGGATCTGATGCCTCAACAGCAATTGCAGCAGCTGTGGTATTGACTTCATTTTGGTTGCTCACATAAACCACGAATCCGGCACCGGGGGATACCTGGAAATTGCGATTGAAGTCAATAGGCAAATGAATTGCAGCATGAAAAATCAGGCAGTCATGCAAATTGCAAACGTCCTGAATATCAGATTGTGTAACAACATCTTGCCCACTGATCAAAGGATCAAAGGAAACCGCTACCGAGTACATACTCAGTACCGCATGCTGAAATGTTGGCAGAATGGTCACGAGCCCTGCGATTCGACCAGACTCTAGTCCTTGCGCCAGCACAACATCAAAGAGGATACTGGACTCATGCCAGTTTCTGGGTGGTGCTGGCTTGACCAAGTCAATGGAAGGTTCTTCTTGTGGCACAGTCGCTCCAAACCAAACAGCAATAAGTTGGGCACGCCAAGTATGAGGCGGTCCACGCAGCATACATTGCCTTGGATGCAGTGATCGTGGAAATGTCACATGATGCAGTAGCCAGGACCGCACCAAAATTCCTTGCACAATTTTGACAGGGTTAACCTGATATGCCGGCGGCAACGATGCAAGGATGCCTAAAGCAAATGGCGGAACCGAGGGTGCCGGTGGTGCATTGGGCATCGAACTCCTAGAGGACGACGCTGCCGCTTGGCTTCCATGGTGTGATGCCACCAGGTGTACTGGTGAAGATTGCGGATGTTCAACCACATTTCCTGCCTCACGGACAACGGAGTGTCCTACGTGGGGAGCAAATTCACCAACATCAAGAGCCAAAAACTTTCGCCAGCAATCGATACCACTGCAATCAGGCACTGCAAAATTCAACCCCGTACATCTTGGGATCAACACGGCCTTTAAAGACAGCGGATCACGACAAGACGTGAGGGGGATGTCAGGGTAATCCTGGGAAAAAAACCGGCAATCCTGCCTGCACCTATTTACATTGACTGAAACCAATGCATCCGGGCAGTCAGAGCTGAGCGCATGGAAAACAGGGTGTGTCAGCGTGTTCGTACAACAAGCACGCTGAGCTTCATTCAGGCTTAAACCATCGAATGACAAAGGCTCGGGCAAAACCTCAGTTGAAAAAGCTGCAAACAACTCCTCAACGGAACAACCTAAGTCAGACTCATAATGGTACCTGGCGGCAGGAATGGCATGACCTGACGGGATCCGCTGTGTAGACCACGGCTTGTCGGCAGTGCACAACACTTCGGCAGGCACGACCAGGCGATGCATTTGAATTGAATCATCTTCACCTAGGAAAATCTCAACATCATCGCAAAACGAAACAGAAGCATGTCCCTCAAGCTTCCTACGGCAACTAACGTGAGACCCTGGCGGATGAAATGTGGAAAAACCAAACTGCAAAGCTAACTCCGTGGCTCTATGCGCGGCATCCCATTCCGAGCAAAAGTCGGATTCAGCAACAATCTGGTGATTCCATTTCTGAACAACCATGTGGGCATCAGGCAGCAGACCTGATCTTTGCGGCCATTGGACAGCATACTCTGGAGTCATACTAATCCGGCCTAGTGAAAAGACGGCGCAGCAGGCGCTGCGGAATCCAACCCAGCGGCATCTGCGGGAGGATCGAGTCTCTGCCGTTTTGTGGCCTGCTGCTCGGCGATCATCAGCTCGTCGGCGTTTGCGCTGAGCGTCTTCAAGCTTTCCCCCAAATGCTGAAGACTGTCTGTGATCTTCCGGGCACTGGAATTTGCCGCTTCCTTGGACTCTTTGGATTCCTCCTCGTCGTCGCTCACTGTTTGAATGTCCTGCTGTTCCGACTGGTCGGTCTTCTGGAGAAGCGACTTGGACGCAGCCAAATTGGAGCGCGCTGTATCCAGTGCTGCTCTCGCAGCTGTGACCCGGTCGGCCAAAGTGGCTTCTTGAGTCTGGAACTGCTGAGAGTACGCTTGCCATTTTGCGACCTGCTCGACCAGGAATGACCCCCATGATGAGTGCAAACTGAGCCGAGCTGCATTGGCATTCTGCAATTCCGTCCTTGCCTTTCCCAGTGCGTTGACCTGCTTGTGAAGGGATTTGATGGCGACTTCGCCCTCCTTCAACTTGGCATCCTTGATTTCTTTCTGGATGTCCGGATGCAGCCCATCTGGGTGCTTCTCGAGCAGTGCATACATTGCTCGGAGCTTGGCTTCTGCTGCCGAGGCAGCAGCATTGGCAGCGGCTGCACTGGGATCCGACGGCAAGCTCCCTCCTGGCAATGGCGGGGGAGGTGCCATCAACCACGGCGCTTCCTGATAGGTGGGCATCACAGCTGGAGGACCCGGAGGAGGCACTACCTCGTGACCACCTGCATGATTGGCAGCTTGATGGGTGCCAGTCTGCTTGCCTTTGCCTTTGCCCTTTCCTTGTTTCGTTCTGTTCGAACTGGATCTGTGTCTCGAGGCCTGTCTCCGTGGAGATTTGATCCATTGTCCATCGTCTCCATATTGAGCTCCTTGCGTCCATCGCTGTGCTTGCTTGGACGCCTTCTGCTGCACCCATCGCTGAGGATGGGATTGGCTGGAGTTGTTCTGTTTTGGCGTGTTCGAATGCGGCGTTCCTTTGCTCCAGTGTTGAGCGCAAATGGGACAATGAATTGCCCGTTTCCCGTTGAGGCTGCCGCACTGGCAGCGCCACGGGTAGGCATGATCCTGCTGAGTCATTGCAGCGGAAATCGCTCTCTGAATAACTTGCAAGAATCTCGAATCCTTCGAATGATGGTTGGATAAAATTGCAAAAATGTGTCGGAGTCCAGTGCAATCCAGCGGTTGAATGCCCTGCTTGTGCAGGAACCACCTGTGCCTTGCCCTGGCTCGTAACCTCCTTGTATGCCTTCTGATAGTCGAAATTGAGGCCGCCAATTTGACAAAATAGCAAAGCAAGGAGCAGACAAAACATGTAAATCCAATGTATAAGGAGCAGAGACAATGTCAATCAAACTCAAACAAAGGACCAGAAATAAGAATTGTAAATTGTGAATTGAATTGCGATTTGAAATCAAAAAGGGGCAACGGTAGTAGGCCAATCAAATGGCAGCTAAAACCTTGCAGAAACCTGGGTTTTTACCCCGTGGATGACCCAGAAACCACAAACAGATAGTGAAGGCGAGGTAGAAGTGAACACACCAAGCCCGCGGAGACAAACCGCTTAGGCGAATGGCAACCAAACCGTACAGTGCGTGCGAGTGGCGGTTTGGACCAAATGCCTTATATATATATATATCCCGTATATGTCCCAGTATGTGTATAGATATATATATATAACCCGTGATTCTATGTTATGAATGGTTATGGATATCACGGATTATAACGAGTTATAAAAACTATAATATATAATGTCTTAATGTGAGATCATCTGTGGTTTGGGCCCCAGGATTCGAATCCTGGAATTCCACTGAAATTCCAAGCCACGAAGCAAAAGCATCTGTCAAACATTGGTTGGTTATAGCAAGTGATATGATATAATTAGTGTCAAATTGTGATTAATCAAGGGGGACCAACTGATTTTAGTATTGCCCGAACATGTTTCCTGTGTGGGGGGTGGTTTTCATTCCCAGGCATGTTATAATCACAACTACACATTAACATTAACAATTTATTAACATTTATTAACTCCTCTTACTGGGAGGATGACCATCCCTCAATATAGCTTTTGCTCAGGACCTGGAGCAGTTTCGGGTTCCCCGTTCCCCAAACAGCGCCCATGTTGAAAATTGTGTATCCGATGATCTGTCCATGGCCAAGTAAACGTTTCATTGGTGGCGTCCATCTAAAATTACTTGTAGATGATCATATATCTACATATATGCCAATAAAATCCGAAATATAGTATAATGCATATATATATATATACATGATATATATATATATCATGTATAATATATATATATATATCTATCATCTAATCGTCCAACCTTCCGGGGCATCCCATCCTTCCGCAAGGAGTTCACCGTCCGATTTTGTCGAGCCCTCCAGCCACGTTCAAACGTCTCCAGTCAGAGACAAAGCCCACATCGCCACCTGTTAAAACAGTCAGCTGAGCACCACGAAATAAGAATCACCCTTTGGTAATTGAACAGTTTGCTGTGGAAAAATATGGAACTAGTTATTTAGTGGGTTTTCAATGGGAAAATAATCTATGCATGGAAGTTTGAATGGACAAATCATCTATAAATGGGGAATTTTCCAGCAAGCCATGTTTGATTACCAGAGGGTAAGCATGCATACACGTGAAGAGTTGGGTACATGCATCTGCGCATGCGTGAAAAAAACCATCAAATACATATAAAATGTGTATGTAATGTCTATATATATATAATTATATATGTGTGTGTGTGTCTATCTCTATCTGTGCACGCGTGTTCTTGCACACATCGATTCTTTCGATCCAAGGGGTACTGTTGTCACTGGGGCCCTGGGTTTCCTGACGCGGATTGGCTCGCACGAGGCTCAGGATGATGACATCCTTCTGACATCCCTGGAAGGCGTCCACTGAGGACACCTGCACGGCGTCTCTGGCTTGAGCCGGCAGAGCCTCAGTCCGCTCCACCGGGGGAGCACCGGGCTGCCGGGGAAGTGGAGAGAAGTTCAATGAAGGCACTGAAGTTCGTCAGACTTCACCAAGCTGAAAGTCTGAAATAAGATGAAATATATTGAAATATGATGAAATAAGATGTACCAAGTCATACTAAGTCATATTACTAAGTCATGCTAAGTCCATGGATGATTTCCCCCAATCCTAGCCATCATGTACTGCGACGTTGGGGTCATCAGCCATGGTCGGAGGATACGCTGGGGAAGAAGTAACATCTGTGGATAATCGGATATCTGTGGGCAAACAATCCAAAACCACGTACCCTCTGGTAAACAGCCACATAGCTATTGAAAATGGCCATTTATAGTGGATTTACCCATTAAAAATGGTGATTTTCCATAGTTATGTTAGTTTACCAAGTGCAGCTACCTGCTAACCCCTTGGATCCAGGTGGATTAATAAAGGCCGAAACACCTGAGTCGAATGGTTGGTGAAGCCAGCTACTGAGGCACGCACATTGCGAATGTCTGCCACCTCTGCTGAAGCAGATGTGGGACGAACCGCGCGAAACTGGAGTTTAACACATCCCATCTCTACCTGGCGTTTAGGGGTTTCCTACGCATCTATCATGCCGTGATCAGCTGCAATAAGTGGCCAAATATTACCAAATTATTTAGCCCTAAAGGCATCCCCAGACTGATCATACCATACTGTACAACGTGATGGCCCCCAATTATAAGATGTTATAAGTGAGGTTGTAAACCCAATAACTATAGTTATATAAATATATACCATGTTTATATCCCCATATATCCCCCATCAAACCAAATGTCAAACAAGTTGTGTGCCTTGTAACTCTTCGGCGATCCTCAAGTGACTCAATGGTTCCCTCTCCCCCGCCTGTGCGGCATATGGGCTGATGACACCCACCTCGTCCCCCTTCAGTCCTTGTGCACCGGCTCTGCCCGAAGCCATGGATTGGCTGAAGGAAAAATGGAATTTGCCGCTGGAAATGGAGGATTCATGGATTATAATGGATTCATGGATTATAATGGAGGATTCATGGATTATAATGGAGGATTCATGGATTATAATGGAGGATTCATGGATTATATATATATATGTGTGTGTGTATATGTATATACATGCATTGTGTGCGTGTCTGCCTGCGTGTGTTCACTATTCTATGCCCACATCCGTCGCTTAGGCCCCGCGCGGCCCCAAACCTTCATCATCTGCCTCAATGCTGCTTAGCATCGGAATGGGGGAATGGGATGATCCTTCACGGGTATGAGTTATTAATGTTACCCTCTGGTAATGACTAACATAGCTATTGAAAATGGCCATTTATAGTGGTTTTCCCATAAAAAATGGTGATTTTCCATAGTTATGTTAGTTTACCAGAGGGTAGTGGAAGATAGAGATGGAAAATCACTATTTTTCATGGGAAAACTCACTATAAATGGCCATTTTCAATAGCTATGTTCAATTACCAGAGGGTATGGATCATTCCCTCACTACGAAGCCACCCACCGCCATCTCTGGGACCCGACTCCACTAGCCAAGCAGCACCTGCGAAGGACGAGTCGAAGCCAAGCGAATGGAAAGTGAAGGACTTCGGATTCCTTCTGCAAAAAAGGTCCCCCAACTCTTGGTTAATCAAATCTGGTATCAAGTTGACTTATTTTCTTTTTTTTTCCCATCAAGTTGACTGACCCAAGGCGTTCATCTTTAGTTTAAGTTTGGATGAATTCCAGGAGCTAGGTGAATTAACACAGCACTTCAAATCATTGCACTATGCCAGTTCCACCATAGCTGCAGCATCCTGATTTATGTTTTTAGGGCTTTATCTTTATTATCCTCTTGAAGTGACTCTCAAGTCTACGGAACTGTGTTTGTTCTTACAACAACGTTTGGTTTCTTCGAGGAAAGTAGGAGCCAAGGGATACGAACAGAATTCAGAGGTATGTTCACTCTCCGTGCGTGATTGGTCGACAAAGATATGCTACGCTCTGTTTTTTTTAAGTGCTAGGAAAATTAAAAACCTCCCATTCGATGATGCTCTACTACTATAGTAATTATTGATTACTACTAATTAACCAAGTTCTGATTGTCCAGCTAGCGATGAAAAGCTACCGGCTTGTAAGTGTTGTTAGGTGAACACCAAAATTTCTGCGTTGTAGGTGTTGACCCACCTCCATATGCCACAACGTGGGTGCCCCCCAGACATAATTTAGTTTCAACACAACCACTAACTATAGATTATATGTGTATACCACAAAACCCTACATTGGCATTCTAGTCTAGTTATAAACCAACTTAGCATAACTTAGCGCAGTCTAGGTGCTAAACTGCGCCATAATGGAACCAAAAAAAGAGAAGTAGATTCCCCAAAATGGTGGTTCAACCAATGGGATGCTTGAAAAAAAAACGATTTCATCGAAAAAAAATAGATATACTCATCTACTTCCCATTACTTACCATAGAAGACATGCTATTTCTGACCCCATGTGTACATATCCTTAACAATTACCTTTCATCCTGGGGGAGATCTCTCCATGGCGATCCAAACACCGACGGAGACAACTCGTCGCCATGGCACAGGCCGCTTCGTCCACATTGCGCTTCGACGAGCCGCGGGACTGTTCGCGAGCCTGGCGCAGCCCCATCGTATCACAAATTACCCTCTGGTAAACTAACATAACTATGGAAAACCACCATTTTTAATGGGAAAACTCACTATAAATGGCCATTTTCAATAGCTATGTTAAATTATCAGAGGGTAGTACATGGATGTTAGGGAAACCAACAATTTATACCGTACTTGGGAGATCTTGGGAGTAGTAATTACAATAAAATACAATAAATGCTGATTGATCATCTATGATTGGGATCTATAATCTGTAATTGGGATGTACAATTGATTGGTAGATAAATCCAGCGATTTAAAAGGGATGTATATAGTATATGAAAAGATCAAGGCAGCAATGTTGTGCGCGGTGTTGTACTCAACAGTTTTATGATGTATTCTGTGTGTTTGTAGTTTTAAGAGTCACTCACTGATTGATTCATTCATGTTGGCTGATATGTTGATTTAACCGGCCCACAAAATCGGGAAAAAAAAACGTATCAAACATTTGGGAGCTACTGTAAACCATTCCCACTAGTAACACGTGTAGGTACATACGAATAAACTGCAAAATTGACGTTGTTTCTCGTTGTGGGTCCTGATCAATCATTTGGATCGTGCCAGTTTGGATGGAAAATCATACGCCTTAGAAAACACCAACAGCAGCCCAAGCTGAGAAACGCTTCAATTTGGAGCTGTCACTGCCCCGGCTGCCCGGGCATCATTTTTTTGCGCGTCGCTGTCGCTAAAGGTTGCGGCGCGCAACGCGGCGGGGTGATCCTGAGGATCTGGTGACGGGGGAGCAGTGAATAGGATGATCCCAACTTCCAGTGCCAAAGATCCCCAGTTCCTATGCCTCTGTGGTTTTGTCTCAAAATAGGGTACCACCCGGTTTTGATGGTTTCTCATCTTCCTATGAAGGTGCCCATTTGGGGTATCCCCCCATATGGATCCATAGGTAAATACGTGGCATGGTGATTGTGGTATGACCTATGAATCATAAAGCTGACCTGGAATGTTGCCCTTCGGACTCCACGGTGAATCATGGCGCAGCATTCAAACTGTGCCTAAAAGCAGGAGAACGGCTGGGGTGCATGGGTTGGGCCAACCTAAACATCTCCATGTGATGTCTGTGAGGCGTCTTCACTTGGCCCAACCCCGCAAATTTCACAGTCAGCGTCAACGACTGGACCCGGAAACCTTCTACAGAACCATGAAAGGCAACGTTTCCGTGCTCCTCTGACATTTGAGGTACATATGCGCACGCAAGCACACGCGCGTTTATTTATCTTTCTATTTTTTTCCAGCACCATCTCTGAAGTCTCTCTATGTGTTTGTTTATTTGTTTTAATTTTATCTTCATGTCGTGTTTGTAAATATGTATTTATACGTATTCATTTGTTTATCTATTCATTGATTTATTTATATCAATTCACTTATTTGGTTATTTATTTGGTACCATCCATATGTGTTATGTGTACGCATGTGTATATACATATATATATATATACTGAGCTGAATATATATATATATGTATGCGTGTGTGTGTGTGTGCATATGCATACATGTATGTAATGTAATGTCATGGAATGGAATGGCATGGGATAGAATGGAATGGAATGGAATGGAATGAAACGCATGCATATTATGCATATGTGTGAGTATGTATGTGTGTATGTGTATGTTCATGTGCATGTGCATGTGCATGTGTATGTATGTATGTGTATGTATGTGTCTGTATGTGTATGTATGTGTATGTATGTCTATGTATGTCTATGTATGTCTATGTATGTCTATGTATGTGTATGTGTGTGTATGTATGTGTATGTGTATGTATGTGTATGTATGTGTATGTTTGTGTATGTATGTGTATGTATGTGTATGTATGTGTATGTATGCGTATGTGTATGTGTGTATGTATGTGTATGTATGTGTATGTATGTGTATGTATGTGTATGTATGTGTATGTATGTGTATGTATGTGTATGTATGTGTATGTATGCGTATGTATTTGTATGTATGCGTATGTATGCGTATGTATGTGTATGTATGTGTATGTATGTGTATGTGTATGTGTATGTATGTGTATGTGTATGTATGTGTATGTATGTGTATGTATGTGTATGTATGTATGTGTATGGATGTGTATGTCTTAGTATATGTAGATGTGTATGTCTATGTCTATGTCTGTGTCTATGTATATGTATATGTATGTGTATGTGTTTGTGTATGTGTATGTGTATGTATAATGTGCATGTGCCTGCGTATGTGCATATATGCATCTATGTATCTATGCATCTATGCATTTATGATCATTTATGCATCTATGCATCTATGCATCTTTGCATCTATGCATCTATGCATGCATGCATGCGTCTATGCACCTATGCATCTATGCTTCCATGCATCTATGCATCTCTGCACCTATGCGTCTATGCATGCATGCATGCATGCATCAATCCACCTATGCATGCATGTACGTATGCATGTATGCATGTGTATGTGCTTGTGTGTGTGTGTGTTGGCACATGCGCTGGCCTGCAAAGACACGTTACATGCATGCCATGTCTCTGTTCCACATAATTGTTCAACAAAGACAACAATATCTATCATCTATCTATATTACAGTATATGGAAATCAAATGTGTATATGTACGGATACATATATATATATGCATAAATCATTCACAATAGTGCTGATGATGATAATGATGATGGTGATGGTGATGATGACGATGACGATGACAATGATGATGATGGTGATGATGATGATGATGGGGATGATAATGATGATGACGATGATGATGACGATGACGGTGACGATGATGATGGCTATGAAGATGATGGTCATGATGATGATGATGATTATTGCGAAGTCGGTGGCACACGAAGTCCACCTCCAAGCTCAGCAGCGCCAGCCTTTTCGAGAGGCTCGCTAAGGCGTGTAGCCAGTTGGGCGAAACAGCCCACCCTTGAAATGAGAAAACGGCAGCGGCAGCTGCACATATGAGCTATGTCATGTTCCATGCCATGTTGCATGGAGTGCAACTCACACGGGCCATTGTAGCCCTTGTGGTAAAAAAAAACTTTCGGGCCTTTAGCCCTTCAGTTCACAACTTCGTCTATGGCTGCTACCCAGCCATCCATATCTTCCTGCAGCGTAGTTCCACCAAGCGGCCCGATGTGGGGCGTCAGCTCCCGCACAGCGCAGTCTTGGCAGGGCTCGTAGATCCTTGGGCTCCCATTGAGCAGCCTGTAGCACTGCTCGTCCTGGTGGTAGACCACGCCTCGAGGCGTAGCATAGATCGCCGCATTGGCATGTTCTGTATGCCAGTTTCGGCGCAGCTCATCGGTGGCCCGATGCATCACAATCCGACCTTGCCTCAAGTAGGCTCGCAGGTCTTCATTGGCACCAGTAACTTCGTCGCATCGTTCTTGGAGGATGCGGTACTGTTCAGTTCGGTAGTTGAACTGATGCTCCAGATTGTGTATTCGTCCTTGGGCGGCTCGAAGTCGCAGTCTCATGGTGTTGAGCTCTTGGTTGTGTCCAGCCACTAGTTGGTTGTGGCCAGTAACCATCTCATCTCTCAGCGTCTCCAGCTCCAGGATGCGCTCATTGGCCTCGTCCAGCAGTCGCTGTAGGCGATCAGAACGGACGTGGCGGCGGCGCAGAAACTCTGCACGGCATCCAGCCCAAGCCACAGCTCCACCAAACATGTAGGTGGTCCAGGCAGCTACCAGGAGAAGCACAGCCCAAATTGCGGCTGTTGTCATCCAGCTCGCAGGTTGAACTTCGGCAGCAGGTTCAGGTTGAGCGGCAGAAGTTGTGATGGGGAACATCAGCAGGTAGATCCAGAGCACCAAACGCAGGAGCTTGTCCACATACTTCAGGATCGGCTTGAAGGTCTCCTTCGGAGTCTCCACGGTCTCCAGGAAGTAGCTTCGCTCTTCTACGCTGTAGGGCTCCACAGGCACAAAGGTCAGGGTGTCCACGTAGCTGATGTTCAGGCTAAAGGCAAAACCTTCTGTAGGAAAAGTTGGGTCCTCCTCAGGACCAGCAGCATCTTCTTCAGGAAGTGCTCGAGGTTGATCGGCCTTGGCCAGGGTGAACTCGGTTCGGCTTTTCTCTCTTTCCTCCTTGGTCTTGCGCTTGGCTGCTGTGTAGTCGGCGTCGTAGGTGAACTTGATCTTGCCATAGCGCAAGCGGTCGGCCAGCAACTGTCTCGTCCCTGTTTTGGTCAGGCTATCCGCATATTGTCTCTCAGAAGACATCCAGCGGAAAGTGCCATTGAGAGCGCCCAATCGCTCCTTCAGGACCAAGATCTCCAGGCCGGTGCGTTTGTCCACCAAATTCCCAGAGAGTCCTTCTCGGTGAAAGGAGTCAAAGAGGGCCTTTGCGTCCGTGATCATAGTCGGGGACAGAGAGCTCGGCATAGCCAGTAGTTCTTGAAGAGGAGCTCGAGGGTGTAGTAGGTGTTCCCAAAAGCGGCAGGCAAACTCCAGAGCATCGCATGCTTGTCCAGCTGCTTGTGCTTCAGCCGATAGGGAACTTCTTGCTACCCGCGGCAGCTTAAAACTCCGCCAATCCACCAGGTGGTACTCAGACTCCACGCCTTCGAAGGTTGAAGAAGGCACCAGCATCAGCAGAAAACCTCCTTGTGAGGACCCGTCGCGCCTGATGGCAAATGAGGCGTCAAACATTCCAACCATCCTCAGCTTGTCAGCTGGGCAAATGTTGCTGTAGCGAAGGGAGACATCTTTGTTGTCCTTGGCAAACTGCAACAGTTTATTCGCTTCTGTGATGTTGTGCATCATAGAATCGCCCATTTGCCCGGCAATCAGCGAGGCTGAGCAGCAGAGGTGTGGTTGGCTTTGCACAGCAGGCCATTGGAGGGATCCCAGAAGACCTCGTAGTCGAGAAACTTCTGCAGGAGATAGTTCAGCTTCAGGTCCACGCTTTGCCACGGG